CCCTAGCACTTGTAATATGTCATTAACAAAACCATTTCCATGTCCTAGTTTAAGGGCAAGCTAAACTCCAGCTCTGCACACTGCTTTGTCTAATGGGAAAAGAAGAGCTAAAAAATAAAGGACCTTGAGGTTTTATCAAGGCATGGTTACCCATGTCCTTCCACCTCTGGCCCTGTGCATTCTCATACCTCCCCTCCCCCCTCACCTACTCTTGCTATTCAATGTAACCAAGCACCTCTAGCAAGCTACAACCCAGCACTTCCCCAGTATGCATACATTGTATACAAGAGCCTCAACATCATTTTCAGGTATATTTATAGTTTCAAACTCTATTCTGCCATATAGAATTTATTCTCAATGAATTGCTGAGCTACTTGTCTTGAAGAAGAACTGCTAGTTTTATAACACTGGAAAACATCATTAGCAATAACAGTGGGCTTAAGAGACCATTACAGTACATACAGATCAGAATAACTCTGCTTTATTTCTTGTAGCAGCTATTTCCCACATGTAACAGCAAGGGCAACAGTTTCACATCTGTCTTTCTCACTCCACATCACAAACTGGGATATCTGCTCTATTGCTTTAGACAGAATGAGAAGACCTAATGCCAGGTCATTAGTAAGAATCCATTTAACAAAGTTCCCCATAAATGTAATGAAAATAATGGCCAAAAAAAAGCATTACAAAGAATTCCACTCGTGAAAAATAAAATATGGTCAAGGCTTTTTTTGCTTGTAAGCTCAATTTCTGCAGACATGAAAGTAGAAAATGCATTATGTCTTGCTTCACTTTTAGTTCTCCTTGACATCTGTCGTTTGTGTTTGCTTGTGTGAAAGCTTAGCACTAAGACTCCAATAAGGTCTTAAGGAGCCACAGCTACTTTGTTTTCTCCCAATTAAAGCAGCTATTAAAGTCCTTAGAAAAAAAAATAGCAACCTTAAATTTGAAAGAAAAACATCTAACAAAAGGCAGATACATTCACCAATTAAAAATCTGTCAGGATCTCTCTCAAAAAAAACCCCAGCATTTGCTAAAAGCCAACTTGCTTGTTTCAGAGGACAAAAAGCTGCTTCAAGTAGCTACCAACAAAACAAAAGGTTAAGAAAAATCAATATACATACATGTGTTTGTCCTCTGAAAGATAAAGATACCCCAGCAGATGAGCAAAATTTTCTCCATTCTCTGCACTATTGTTTAAAAAGACATTGCCAAAGCCCAGGTGATCAGCATCAGACTTCAACAAAAGCTCCAGTAACAACATTTTGACCTTAAAAGGTGCCTTTTCTTTAGGGAGCTTGAAGGATCCTTCTCATATGTGAATGAAATACCATGTTTTTACAGGGGGTGTGCTGAGGCATGAGTGCAAGCACTGCACTTTTGACTGTCCAGCAGAAGGATGGGGACAGAAGCTGTAAAGCCCTGATTTCCAATAGCTCCTGTAACTTCCAGAATAGAATATGTCTTCATGTAGCAAATAACATGAATTTCTTCTCACCAAAGGGAAGACATGTGTAAATTTGAAGATACTGTCATAGCCCTTTAGAGGCAGAGGGAGATGAAGGGCTCCCCTGAGCCACAACAAAGATGGGGATTTTAATAGCAGACTTTGCAAACATTCATTAAGCTTAACCAAACACACTTTACATCCACAGGATTTGTTGTTATGAACATTCCTACCCTCCAAACCCTTTATTTCTCCTTTAGGACAAACAAGAAGGGAAACTGTGCCCAGGAACTCAGTGTAACCCAACAGCACTGCTGGGGGTATGATTAAACTACCTCAGAACTCAGCTCTCCTGGAAGCTTCTGGCTCTTTTTGAATGGATCAGCCTGCCCTGAAGCAGTGCTGCACAGGGTTCACTCCTGACAGTGTTCCTGCAGGCAGGATAGACAAGGCACCAGGCACTGCTCCACCCACCAAACACAGTTGTTGAAAATCCCAGGAGGGCTGGTACCCTCACACTCCTGTGATACTGGTCAGGAAACACAACAGGAGCTTAATGTTATTAAACATCCTGGCTGCAGGACAGGTTTTATGATGGTCAACAATCTGAACTGCAGTTCATAGGTAATGACACCTTTTGGAACCAAGATGATACCACCAGGATCCCAAAAGGAAAGCTGAGTTGGGTAGTTTGTGATGGGGACGTGGCAAGACTGCTTGAGTTGGGGATTTGGGACAGCACAGATACCACCCACCAGCACCATGTACCTTGGGAGCCTGAAATCACCCCTCTGAACCCTGCATCTCCAGCTGGGTCATCATCACCCAGGAGATCCTGCTTCAGCTCAAACACCAGGGTTTCATTTCCAGTTTTGTACTCGACCAAACACCATGTCTCCTTCTGCTCAGGAAGCAACAGCTTCCAAGGAAATCCACACTTGAGGCTGCCTTTAATCTCTAAACTTTGCAAAAACTGGAAAATCAAAATGAAATCCCTGAATACTCAAATCCTCCTACAGGAAACAACTCCCAAGAACAAACGTATTCCCCAGCAGACCCAGAAAAACTGATACTTTGCAGAAACAGAAAGGAGATTAAAGCTGGGACAGGCTTTCCTGTTGGGTCTTCCTTCATCTCAGTTTTCTGCACTCAGAGACTAGAGACCACCCAAAATTTCCAAACTATCTCAAGATAACAACAAACACTGATGATCACACTGATCACACCACTACACTGACATTTATGTAGTTAACTTCCCTGAAGCAGCAGCACCTTGATTTTAGACCAGAGGCTCAGGACCTATGAAAGCCCATTTCTCACTTGATTTTAGGGCTGCTCTCATACATTTAACTTTGTCAAGGATCTAGCCCCAAACACTCTCCCTGAAAGAGAGACATTTTATCCTGGGAAGTCAAATGAAATAAGTACTAGAATCCCTAAATGTAGCATCAGACAAGAGTAAATTATTCAGCCTCTTGCAACAAGAGAGCTACTGAGCTTGACTAAATACCAGAAATTATCCCTTCATTAATATAATAATTTATATTTATAAAAGGTCCTTGAGCTTCACATTTCAAAGCTCTTTATAGACAAACACACTAAATAGATTTTGCTGAGCTAAACAAAGTTCCTTTTTTTTGGCAGACATAATTGTCTTTGCTATAACCAAGTAAAATATCTTAACATCTGAAGAAGCTCCCCTGGTTTTGTTTGTTTACAGGACAAGAATGAAGTCAAGTTTTGCTACTTTTCATACACTGTCTCCTTTTATGGGCCATTCACACAGCAGCAAGAGAGAAATAAACAGCTTTCCAAATAAACAGGGAAATGCAAGTGTAAAGCCACAAGGATTGGCAGAAGACTCTAAACAGAAATGTTTTGGAAATAAAGCTATCAAGAAAAGACAACTTTGCTGCATTTCAAGCCAATAACCTCCTGCCAAGATTTATAATATTTTTCTCAAGTTAAGTTATAAGAAATATACATTTAACCCACCCAAGTCTAAATTGGTTTGCAATGGTGTTTTATGACCTTAGAAAACAGCAAGAAATTTGACCTGTCACTTGGCAAGTTCATTCTCACCCAAGTTACTACACAAAAACAAAATACAGAAGAAGGTGATTTCAGTTCCTTTCCATGTCATTTGCTTTGTCTACTTGACTAACCCAAAGAAACAGGAATATTATAAATACACCACTTTTCTCTTCCTTTGCATTACGTTCTGCTTTCAGGTTTTCATGGTCTGGCTCAACATGACACTTCAAGCTCTGCAGAGAATCTCCAAAAACCAATTCCTAATTCCATTCTGGATGTTTAGTAATCAGGTTGTTCTACCAAATAATTTTGATTTCATCAAGTTGCTACCATCAATGTTGCGGCATAACACTGGACCTAAACTAACTGAGGTATCAGTGCCTTCAAGCCAAGTATTGTTAGATAAACATAATTTCTTATTTGGAGATAACTCACTCTTGTAAGTCAAGTTATAAATTAAATAAGTTCAAATTTCTTAAAATACACAAAACAAAAGGAAGTCCTTAAATACTCCTGGAAATTACAGAAGGAAAAAAGGAAACTTACTATACATTCATAGAGGATTTTTAAATCAGAACATGTCCTAGACACAGAACTATCACTATAACAACTGTTCTGAAATAACAGAATTACTTTAGTTTCTGACAAAGACATTGAAGTAGGAACAAAAGTTTGGAAGTTCATTATAACTCACAATAACATACTCCTATGACCATTTCCTGCCCACACCGACTTTAGGGGGCTTACAGAAGGCCAACATTTAAAAGCTTCAGTGTGAGAAATCAGCTGCCAACCCACTGGTTATAAACAACGCAGAAGAAACTCACAAGCAGTAGAGAAAGGCACAGAGGCAAACCAGCAAAAAAGAACTCAGGTCCTTGCTTGGCTCTAAATACATCACAGAACCACCCTCTAGCACAGCAAAGGAGCTTTCATGAATAAGGTTAGACAAAAACCTACAGTGCAAGCATAACTAAATGGAACCGCTTTCTTTTTGCCCCCAGGAAGACAGATAAGACCCAGAAGCAGCAGCAAGTCTCCTCCTATTGCATCCTAAGACAGGACAGAGCCTTCACAAGGGACTTCCTCGTCCCACAGCTTTTCCAACCAGCCTTGTTTTACTGGGGGCTGCTGTGTTTGTAGATAAGGATCAACTACAGAACAACATGAGGGGCAACTACAGCAATAAGATGGTTCCTTGACACCCCCCCAGTATGACATTAAGCCAGGGCTGACTGCAGGGCTTTACCAGCCCCAGGACACAGCAAAGTGAGGGGAACAGCAGAGGGTGAGCCAGGCACGGGCAGGAGAACAGCAGGACACCCCTCAGAAGGCCTCCCCCAACACTGAGGCCTCCCCGCGGTTGTGGGGACCCTGGACAGACCCCCTGGCTCTCCAAGCCCGGCCCACACAGACCCCCTAGAGCACTGCAGGGCCCACACACAGCCCAGAGGCCCAGGCAGGGCCCAGGAGGGAGGGACGGACGGGAGGCAGCGGAGCGAGGCCGGGCCGGCCCTACCTGATGACCGAGATGAGCAGCCCCGAGGGGTCCTTGCTCTTGCTCATGGTGCTGCGGTAGCGGCCCCGCGCCTCCCCCCCCCGCCCTCTGCTC